TATACATCATAACATTAAATTATATAAACACAAAAAGTGTAAAATTTGGTAGTAAGAATATCTATACATATAAAATAATTCTGGCCCCTCACATTCAATAATAATGGGTAATCTTTTTTGCTTTCTTAAATCACACACAAAAAAAAAAAAATAAATAAAAAAGGTTTTAGTGTCTCTATACAATCATTTCAGTAGTCAGGAAATATATACAGAAAATATATACAGTCTTTGGCTGAAAAAAAGAAAATTAAAGATTATTTTAAAATACGTGGAAAATCAATATGTATTAAACTGGTTAACAAGTAACTATAGGTTTAGCCAATCACAACACATTTTTTTATCATAAAACTATAAAAGATCTATGTACATATACATCAAAATCTTCATATCTCATTCATGAAATACTGTTTTATCTTTTATTATTGCTACTACTTTTACTATCATATTTGCAAACAATACTTGTCCTTTAACTACTTTTACTTACAAAGGTATGCCCATTTCAAAAGTAAATACAAACCTCCCTTTTTTCACTACACACCTGCATGTTATTGTACTTCTAATGTATTTTAGTTCCTGACCTCTAAATTAATTTTCTCGCCTAAATAAACAATATGGGAAAAAACAACATTAATAAGAACTTCTTTCAGACATTCCGAACTCTTTATCTTTTATATGTAGTCACACTGACCTACAAAATCTAATGCACATGAATATTTTTTCAAGATAATCCTTGTTTGCATGGTTAAATTCATTAATAATAAACAAATTAACACAATATATAAGATTCACAATGGCTGAATATCAGGAAATAATAAAATCCCCATACATCCAAAATACATACATATAACCATGCATATCAACATCATACAAAAAAAAATCCATGTCAAACGATCCACCTATTCAATGTACATTATCAAAATTGAAATTGTTTCTATTCATGAAGTGAAGCATGTACTATAAACAGTATCAATTATTACACAAAATTTTACTCCAAGACGGTCAGGTTTTAAGTAGAAAAGAATTACAAGAAAAGATCCTATATTTCTGTGAATTTTAAGGCTTTTGGCTCAAAGATCTCTCAATGAATAAAAGGCATAAAAGCAAAATGTTTTCCATCTTGTTGAGGATTTGCAAATATTTCATAAAATACTATAGAATACCCTATATATACTGAGATACTAGCCTCCTTCAGAAATAACAATGGGTGATGAAAAGTGAAAATAATGAATATGATCAATAAAATTCATAAATAGCTACTCATGTTACTCATACAAAAAAGGCCACTGAGATCCCACATAGAGAATGTATGCAAAAACCATAGTGATAATTTAAATGAAACTATGTATAAAAGATTAAATATAGAACATCCACCCGCCCATAAACACTCTCCCTTCCCTTCCTCTCCCTACCTCACTTCCTCCCTGTTTCTCTTTCACTCACTCCCTCACTGAAGTGAAATAATGAAGCAGAAAGAACATACAATGTACACCATTGCAGAACTAAGCATAAATGATATGGAAAAGTAGCTAATCCCCGAGGGTTCAGATCTGCTATGAAAAACATTTTTTGTTTGAGTTAGATCTAGTTTATGGAAACATTCACATAAGACAAGAAGAGTAACAACTAATTTTTTACACATTCTGTCTTTGAGAAGTATATTGAGGAAGAAAAAAATCTTAAAAAATAAAAAAAGCAAAAGAGGACATGAAAAAATATTTTTAACGCTCATGTATACATGTAATCTTCGAAAGACTACTTATGATCAAATTGAAAATGTAATTATCAATAAAATGTAATTGTTTCAATAAAAAAAAGAACACAAACTTTAGTTATATCAGGCTCATTCATATAATGACATCAAAAAGTAAAAGTTAAATGACACTGATTTTACACTTTTTTCACACCGTTATATTCATTCATCTCTTTTATCATTCTGGGCTGTCAGTGAACTCTAAAGGGCACAAAAAGATCCCATTACAGAGATGATCAGACAATGTAAAATGAAAGGAAGACCTTGGAATAATACAAATGGAGGCAGGCATATCAATTCATCCTTCGAGGAAGTATTGTCATATGTTTGAATCTGTTTGGAACAATGGTGAATAGGCAGGAAAACATACATAGAAGGGAAACAGGGAAAACATGTAATAATGAATCAAACTGGACAATATTAGGAAAGAAGGAGAAGGAAGGATACTTAGGAAGACTAAGGAAGACTCACACAATTCTAGGAAGATACAGGATGAAGGAACAGAGGAGTGTGTCACACAACTGTTCCTTCCTTGCCTGTAGTTGTCTTCACCTAAAAACTGCAACACAAACCATGACCCTGTAAATATCTCATCGAGAATCCTTTCACACAATGGAGAATGATCCCTTAGACAGAACTTATGCTGCCATTAACTAGCTAAACAAAAAGGAGAGCAAGTTACAACCATGAGGTAATTAATATCATTTCTTATGATGAAATAAAAAGTACGGTGTTTCTTATGCCGCATACAAAGCTTATAACGATTTCATTACTCATATCAAGCAAAGGCACAACCACAAAAATTGTTTCTGTCTCTCTAAAGCTAAGTGAAGCTTTTCAACTGAAACATAAGGAAACGGACACAGATACCTTATCAAATATAGTCTTTTTAACATAAATGGATTGATGAATAAATGGGTTAGATTAATGACTTATATACAACTAAACTCGGATGAATTGAATAATCTACTTTCCTTCTGACAATGTTGAGAAAGGTCATGAAAAAAAAAAGAAAAAAAAAAGAAAAAGAAAAAAGAACAAGAAAAAAAGAAAGAAAAAAATGTGTGTATACATATATATATCGTCTATGCCAGTGTACATGTTATCTATCTATCTATCTATCTATCTATCTATCTATCTATCTATCTATCTATCTATCTATCTATCTATATCTATCTATCTATCTATCTCTATCTATCTATCTATCTATATATATATATATATATATATATAATATATATATATATTATATATATATATATATATATATATATATATATATATATATGTATATATATATATATATATATATATATATATATATATATATATATATATATAATATATATTATATATATATATAT